AGGAAGGAAGGAAGGAAGGAAGGAAATTGTGATCATCTACAACTAACTGAAAAAATATTTTTAAAAGGATTAAAACACTTAGGAGCAAATGTAATCAAAGAAAGTAAAATCACATGTGCTGAAATCTTTGGCAAAGCATGGCTGAAGAAAAAAAGTAAAGAAGATGTAAATAAGGGGAAAGACACCTCATGTTCCCAGGGTGGAAGACGTAATGTCAGTAAGGTGCCAGTGCTGTCCAGAGGGATCTTCGGATTCAACACAACCCCTACCAAAATCCCCGATGGCTCCTTTGCAGGAGTTGACAAGGTGATCCTAATGTTTATATGGAAATGTAGCAGATGCAGGAGAGCCAGAATAGTTTCAAAGGAAAAGAACAATGTTAGGAGACTCACACTTACCAACTTCAAAACCTGCTACAAAGCTGTAGCAATCAAGACCTTGTGGTACCAGCATACACACAAACATGACTCTATGGAAATGAAGTGAGAGTCTACCTAATGCACCTTTACATTTATGGTCCAATTGTCTATCATCTGGGCTGTTGGAAAAAAGTGCCATGGGGTTATAAAATCAAAAAGGCTTGAACAAGGGCCACCAGGAGGACTGAATATCCACTTGCAAAGCCATGAATTTTGACCCACACACCCAAGTCACACTGTAAGCAAATAGTGACTGAAAGTGATGAAGGACTTAAAGAGCCACAGCTATACAACCCAAAGAAGAAAACATGGGTATAAATCATCATGACTTTGAATTAGGCATCTATTTCTTAGGTACACGGCAGAAACTCAAGGAACCAAAGAAGAATAGGTAAATTGGACTTCCTAGAGTTCATAGAATTTAAAAGCTTTTGTACACCATTGGATTCTATCAAGAAAGTGCAAAGACAGCTGACAGAATGAGAGAGTGTTTTGCAGATCACACATCTGGCAAGAACACATGAACGTTTCTTAAAACTCCACCATAAAGAGACAAATGTCCCAGGGAAAATGGGGAGAGGGCTTGACTAGGCATTTCTCCAAAGAAGATGCACACATGGCCACAGAGCCCTTGAAGAATTTCTCATCATCATTAGTCAGTAGGGAAATGCCAAGCAAAGCCGTAATGAGTTGGCTCTTCACATCCACTAGGATGGCTTTAATTAATAAAATGAAAGTGAACAAGTGTGGCTGAAGATGTGGGGAAATTGGAAATCTCCCATTATACTGGTGGGAATATAAAATGGAACAGTCTCTGGGGGAAACATTTTGGCAGTTCCTCAGATAGTTAAACACAGAGTTACTGTATAGCCTGGTAATCCCACTCCTGAGTATATATACCATGAGCAATAAAAACGTGAACTCAAAAAAATTTTACTCGAATGTTTGTAGCAGAATTGTTTGTATTGGCCAGAAAGTAGAAACAGCTCAGATGCCTTCTTGCTGATGAACGCATAGGTAAATGTGGTACATACATCTAGCGGAATATCATTCAATCATTAAGATGAATCCTGACAACATCATGCTATGTGAAGAAAACAGTCACAAAAGGCCACGTATTGTATGGTTCCGCTTATATGAAATGTCCAGGATAGGCAAAGCCAAAGAGACAAAAAGCAGAATAGTGGTCGCCAGGGAAAATGGGGAGTGATATAAAGTTCTTGGAATCAGGTAGGTGGCATGGCTGCACAATCTTATGACTGTGCTACATGACCACTGAATTGTGTACCTTAAAAAAGTAAGTGCTGCGATGTATATCTGACATCTCAATTCAGACACAACTGGCCAGTCTTCCTCTTTGAATTTCAATTTGTTATTTTGTTGAGCATCTTTTCTTTCTCAGTATGACTGAGCTCCTTTATGCTTTTGAACACCCCTATTTTTCTGCTTTGAATTTGGGTGAGCATGAATGTTCATGACAGACATTTTCGTTTTCACAACATCTTTCTTCCTCATTACAGTGGTCCTCATTCTGGCACATGCATCCCAGAAAAAGAGCAGCGTAGGGTAAGAGGTGGCATTTTGTGGCCAGTGTGTCTGTCCTGTGGTAGTAATGGAGACCACCTGTTCTTGTCCCACTGCAGGTGCCTGGAGGACAACCAGTGGAACTACATCAGAGCTGGTCAGGTCTTCACTATGCTCCAGGTGAGGACTGGGGATCAAGCGGGTGAAAGATGATGTCTCTGGGCCATTGGGAAGGGAGAGACCATGTGGCCTAGGAATGGATCTTGGGGCACCTGCCTCTTCTGACATCCTGACTCCTTCCCTCCAGAACCAGGGGAAGATACCAGGGGAGGCCTTCAAACAGTTGTCCTGAAAGGAGCCCTTGGATGCCATCTTCCTCTTCATGTACATTGTAGTTTTCTGAAACCAACTTAAGTCCACGCTCATCGCTGGGATTGCAGGTCTGGCTGACTAACAAGTCAGAGTTAACTTGTAGGCCAGGTAACATAACCTCCCAAATGGCTAGTTGTTATGTGTGTTTTCCCCACCAAAGATGGCTGTTTATCTTTACAATAAAGCGTGATATTGCATGTTGTGTGCTGTGTGTCCTGGGTTTCTTCTCTCCTGATGCAGGCATGAGCCAACAGGGCCAGGACCGAAAGGCCCTGTGCACCCCCGCTCCCATCCCGTAGACCCTGGCTGTTCTTAAGCAGATCCATCAGGCTTGCTCCAAGACAGTGTGTGAATAAATCCTCATGAGGAAAGACACATGCTACTTCTAGTGATTGGCATTTGGAGATTGTGAGACTGTGAGATGCTCTCCCTGGAGGCCTGCAGAAGCAGCCATGTGACCTGACACAATGGGGGCTTCTCAAGGGATGCTTTCTGGCTATTGGGGGCTGTGGAAACAAGGAATGATTGAGGCATGGAACAAAGCAAAATAGGGAGGTACTTGAGGGCTGACATATTTTACTTCTCTTTCCTAATATTTTTAGATTTTCATACACCATACCAGGTTCAGCTTTGTTGTTGTTTTTTGTTTTTGCACAGCTGAATAGGAATCGGGCCTCTCTGCATCTCTGCCCTAGCTTCCATTTATCTACCCCACATGCCTATCCCACCCTCTCCTCTTAGGCTGCTCCCCTAGGAATCTTCTGTTAGCACCTATAGTTGGTGTGGAAGGAGTAGTCCATTCAGGATGCCCAGCATATCCTTCACAGAATTGGAAGAGGATCCTCCATATCCATTGATTGAATCCATGGACACTTAGCCACTGATCTACATCTACATACGTCCTTTTTTATATCCCATTATATTTATTTTCATTTTTATTTTGATACAAGTTATCACTAAGTTGTTCTTATCCTGGCCAAATTACTGAGGCTGGTTTTGAACTTGTGATCCTCCTGCCTCAGCCTCCTGAGCCATGGGGATATGTTCAGATTGTTTAGTCATTTCAGACACTCATTTTTTACCTCCATATGACAACAGCAGTAGCCCCAAATTTCATTTTGCGGTTAGTTTTGTGCAAATTTTCCCAATGACTGATAGTTGGCAGTTCCAAATTTCAGGAAATTATTAAATATGACATCTTCCCAATTTATTGCCCACAGTTCTGGAATGCTCTTACTTTTTTTGGATATAAAAATAATAGTAATACAAAATTTTCAAGTTACAATCCTAGAAATGATGACACCTGTGAAATTCCACCAGTTGACAATAATTCCTGCATTTTTTGTATGTTTTGGCAGAAGTGACTTGACACTTTCCATTCATGATATATGTTTACGTTAGGGAGCCACATATCAGAGAAAAGAGTGTTTTAAGTAGTATCAAAATAGTAAGTATTGCTCAGAATAAATGTAAGAAATTATAAAAATTTTTACCCTGAAAATAAAAACATTCACGACAGGACACAAATATATATATAAATGCATCACATGTTAATGCATCACATGTTAATGCATCAAAAGAATTAACAGTAGTTAAAATTTCCAATTTATCTATTATACTGCATGGCACAAATTAATATTATTCTTAGCAAAATTTCAATGAAATTCTTCATCAAAATAGAGAAAATTCCTACAATTCATTTGGAACCATACACAACCCCTAATAGCCAAAGCTGTATTGAGAAACAATTTGGAGGTTTCACACTTTCTGATTTTAAATTATATTGCAAAGTTGTAGTAATCAAAGCAGTCTGATACTGGCATAAAACATACAACAAGAGAATAGAATAGAGGGCCCAGAATTAAATCTAAATAAATATGTTTGCCTAATTGACAACTTCACCAAGATGATGTAACTGGAGAAAGATAATATTTTCAATGATTCTGGGGAAGTTTATTTAAAACAGTTAAACCCTAATCATATGCCGTAAATAAAAGTAAATTCAAAAATGTATTAAATCCTAATATAAAGCCTGAAACTATAAAATATCAAGAAGACAAATACAGGGAATAACTCCTTGACTTTTGCCTTGTCATTGATATATTGGATGTCACACCAAAGCTCAGACTAGAAAAATAAAGAAACTATATAAATGGGACAATATCAACTAAAAAGATTCTGCACAGCAAATTATACAATAAACAAAATGAAAAAATTAACATACAGACTGGGAAATTATATTTCAAACCAGGTATCAGATAAATGTAAAAAAATTCTTACAACCAAATAACATCAAAACCAATGTGATACTTAAAATTGGTAAAGGACATAAGAATTTTCTTCAAGTGATGCATAAAAATGAGTCAACAGGTATATGAAAATGTGCACAACATCACTAATTGTTAGGGAAATACAATTTAAAACTATTATGAGATATATACTTATTTTGATGGCTTTTATGAAAATAACAAGACAATGTGGATTAAAGGGAACACTTACCCTGCTGGTTGGAATATAAATTCTTCCAGCCATAATGGAAAATAATATTGAGTTTTCTTTAAAAATTAAAACAAAACTACCATATGACTCAAACTAAAAAGTTTCTTCTCAGGAAAAGGAAACAATATGTTAGGTGAACAGAGAGGCTATATCTTGGGAGCAAATCTTTACCCCTCACACATCAGATAGAGCTCTAATCTCTAGGGTATATAAAAGAACTAAAAAAGCTAAGCACCAAAAAAAACAAATAACCCAATTAACAAATGGGCCAAGGACCTGAACAGACACTTCTCAGAAGATGATGTATAATCAATCAACAAATACATGAAAAAATGTTCATCATCACTAGCAATTAGAGAAATGCAAATCAAAACCACTTTAAGGTTTCATATTCACTCCAGTCAGAATAGCATACTCATACACTGCTGGTGGGACTGCAAATTGGTGCAGCCAATATGGAAATCAGTATGGAGATTTCTTGGAAAATTGAGAATGGAACCACCATTTGACCCAGTTATCCCATTCCTCAGTCTATATATATATATATATATATATACAAAGTACTTAAAAACAGCATACTACAGGGACACAGCCACATCAATGTTTATAGCAGCACAATTCACAATAGCTAAACTGTGGAACCAACCTAGATGCATACACACACACACACACACACACACACACACACACACACAATGGAACATTATTCAGCAATAAAAGATAATAAAATCATGGCATTTTCAGGTAAATGGATGGTATTGGAGAAGATAATGCTAAGTGAAGATAGCCAATTCCCCCCAAAACCAAATGGTGAATGTTTTCTTTGATATAAGGAGGCTGATTCATAGTGGGATAGGGAGAGGGAGCATGGAAGGAATAGATGAACTCTAGATAGGGCAAACGGGTGGGAGGGGAAGGGAGGGGGCATGGGGTTATTAATGATGGTGGAATGTGATGATCATTCTTATCCAAAATACTGGTATGAAGACACAAATTGGTATGAAAATACTTTGTATACAACGGGAGATATGAAAAATTGTGCTGTATATGTGTAATAAGAATTGTAAGATGGGGTAGAGAGAGAAGATGGGAGGGGAGGGGAGGGGGGATAGTAGGGGATAGGAAAGGTAGCAGAATACAACAATTACTAATAGGGCATTATGTAAAATTGTGGATGTGTAACCGACGTGATTCTGCAATCTGCATTTGGGGTAAAATTGGGAGTTCATAACCCACTTCAATCTAATGTGTGAAATATGATATGTCAAGAGCTTTGTAATGTTGTGAACAACCAATAAAAAAAATTAAAAATTAAAAAAAAAGAATTGTAATGCATTCTGATGTCACATTGAAAACACCTACAATATGATTCATATACCGCTTTTAGAATATACACCCAAAGGAAATTAAATTATAATTTTATAAAGACATCAGCAACCCCATGTTCACTGCAGCATTATTCACAATAACTGATATGGTAACAATTTGCATGTCCATCAACAGATGAATGGATAATGAAAAAATGCCTGTGTGTGTGTGTGTGTGTGTGTGTGTGTGTGTGTGTGTGTGTGTGTGTAAGGTCAGACCTCAGTCTTATCTCAGTCTTATGGGTTTAATAGGCATTCCAGAAAATTGAGAGTTAGAAAGTGACCAGTCTTCAAGTCTATATACGTAAGATAATGTACCTGGAGACAGGAAGTTGAGAAGTCAGCTCAGCCTTCTAAGACTATGTTATCAGAAGAGATACCAAGAAGCCAAAGACAGATAATGGAAGGTCACTAAAACTGAGAACAGAAAATACTCTGTTCTGTTCTGAAAATCATATTAAGGACTCGCTCAGATGATAAGGGGCAGATGCCAGGTGGTGAGGGACAAGCCCATGCATAGAGAAGCCACTAAAGTAACCTACAGTTCACTTTATTTTATTAGCATAGAACAATCACAACCAAAGGCAGAGATTTAAGTTGGTAATGAAACATTCATTGTATGGAGAGACATAATGAAGGAGAGCACAGAGAGAACTAAAAATTCTATTTTTTATGCAATGATATCAGGAGACTAGGTCACTGCATAAACCACAAATGCCATAAAAGCTATACACCTTTGTCTTTTGCTTGAGGTAGCCTAGGATTTCTGTACCCCACAGTCCCTCCCTGTCCTCAAGTGTAAGAATAGTCTTGTCCCTGTTGCACTGGTGCATCTGCCTGATTCTTCTAATACTCAACACAAGAAAGCACAGAATTCGTAACACATAGAGCTAAAAATGTAGCTCAGTGGTAAAGCCCTTGAGGAGCATGCATAAAGCCTGTATCCCCAGCACCTAAAAAAAATAAGAATGTGTATATATGGATACAAACATATATGCACAGGCATGTGCATGTGGACACACACACACACACACACACACACACACACACACACACATTTTTCAGCCTTAAACTATTGTGGGAAACAGACCAGTTGAGAAGCAGCAAGCAGCACTCAGAGAGGAGAAATCGAACTTTATTTTATGCCAGTTGTCACAGAGGAGAACAAACCCCGAATCCTGAACTCTTATCCAGTTTCTCACAATATTTATAGGTTACTTTGTGCCATAAAATTTCTAGTCCACACTACAAAAGGCCTTGCTCAGGGTTTCTAGTGGGAAGTGTGTTTACAAAAGCAAAAAGCAATGAGAAACCAGCTGTCATAGGCATGGATGAA